GACCAAAATCCAAGGTCTTTTTTCACTGTATAGTGGGTTTGAGGCCAGCATGAGATAAAAGAGATCCTATTTCAAAATAAGCAGATAATTAAATTACTAAAGAAAAAAAAACAGTAATGCTAAAACAAAATAAATATGTAAGTTTTCAAATTTAAAGATAATGAAAACTTTATAAAATTAATCTGATTTTTAGAGATAAATCTATATCCCTGAATTAACTAAAGATATTGATTTCAAAATACTAGAACATGTATATTTTTTGAAAGTGAATAATAAGAAAATGAATGGAGGTGATAACAGAAAAGAAACTATGTAAATCCAAAAGTCAGCTGCCTGAGGAAAAAAAATAAAATGAAATCAGATCAGAAAGACAGTCTCTCTCTTACAAAGATGCTTGCTAAACAAGTATTCCTAAGAATGTTTTCTAAATGAAAGAACAATAAATGCTTTACTGAAAGACAAGCAGATCCACAGACCTCAAAATGAGGAACAAGGTGAGTCGGCAAATATACAGCAAGACTTGTGACTAGAAATACCGGCCAGAGTTGAGGCACCACCTTGTTCTACCCACTGAGTGGAACAGCTGCTCCATTTTAGTTGCTTCTGAGGCCAAGCAGGTGAAGCTAAACTGTGAGATGTCTGCTCAGCTCCACCATTAATGAACCACACTCAGGAACTCAGGGCAATTTCCATCAAGCAATATGTCCACTGAGCTGATGCATTTGCCTCAGCTGGATTAGTAGGAAGGGGTGATTCTTCCCAAGAGTTATCTGACACTTTCATGGAAAGCCAAGACAATGCTAGGGTAGATCCAGCTTTGTTCTTGAACACAGCATTTTCATTAGGCCAGCAGGTTTTGGATCTTTCACGTCCCACAGTGTTATCTGATATCTTTGAGTTGCCACAACATCAAATGTCAATATGATGAAGAAGAGTTACAAGGCCACCATGGGCCAGGCATTCAGCTCAACAAGAACCTTGTAAAAAGCTATCAGTTTCCTTTCTTTTACTATTTGAAGTTAAAATATAATTAACTATATCATTTTCCCCTTTTTCTTTCCCCCATCCACCCTGCCCATATTCCCACGCCCAATCTGTGGCCTCTCTTACTTTGATTGTTGTCATATATACTAAATATTAGATGTATTCTTAAACATGTAAATACATTCTTCTCAGTCTGTATGATATTACTTGTATGTATATGATTTCAGGGATGACATTTGGTATTGCATAATCACCAGAGAATTCTTCCCTAGGGAAGCTGTTTTCTCCCACTCTCAGCATTCTTAGCTGCCTAGAGATAGTTGTGTGTTTGTTTGTTTCATTTTGTATTTAAATAAGAATGAATGAATGTTCACTAGGCAGACAAAATGTATTTCAAACTCCAAGGAATGCTTCTGGTTGAAACTCCCTCCCTTTACCCAAGATTCCAATTAGCAGAATCACCACCCGTAGAAACTTGAAGTTCAAAAAGTCACTGGGGTGCTGGGGAGCTCCAGCTCTAAAACCTGCAAAAGGATTTGCAGAAGAATTCCCAGTGCAGCCTGTGGCTTGTGTCCCACATGAAAGATTGTGACTTGAGGCTGAGCATCCGTGGAGGGCCGAGTGGAATGTCCAAGGGCAGCAGCACATTCTGCAGAAGCCAAATGGGCCACGAAGTGTGGGCCTTTCACTCTGTGATAGTCTAGAACACTGGGGAGCTTCTTGGTTGCCAGAGGAACTACACATTCTGAATCCTCTCACACATCTCAGAAATCACTTGGCAAGACCGTCCATGAGTCTTCTCAGCCCTCCTCACAGAGGTGTGACAATACTTTATCAGAGTATGAGTGCTGAAGCTTCTAGAGTGCCAAGCAGCGCGGTGTGATATATGCAGTGAATGTTTTTGACATCAGGGAGTACAAGGAGCTGTACAAAACACTAAGCTCTGCTAATTCTAAACTTCGGGGGGGAATTTAAATACCGTAATGAAGTACTGAAATCCCGTTTTTTAAGGCCTTTCCGAATGAGCAAGACTGTCTTGATATGCAGGTGTAATTGGATTAGAGAGTAAAATTTGATCAAATAGAGATACAATTTGCTCAAGTCTGGGAAACCATAACAAGTATCATGACCAGTGTGTAGTAGACTCAGTGAAGTAACAAAGTCTTGGACAACAGGAGCACTGTGAGTGATCTTAAGCAACTGAGCTAACATCTAAACACTTTGGCCTATAGGTAAAACTGAATAAATAATATGCTTCACATTTAAGGTTGCTAAAAGTTCAACATGAGATAGTAAAAATGGACTGTCTTGCCTTAAAATTTTGGATTCTTGCTTGGCACTGTGAACAACTTAATGTATTTTGCTCTTTTATGTATCCAAACATTGCAATCTAATGTATATTTACTACCTCTTTAGAGAAAAAGCTTTTTAAATCAGAAATAAAGGATATGTTTTAGCTACTTTTCCCATTTTTGTAAAGGCATAAAAGAGGCAATTTAAAACGTGAAGAGTTTACTCTGGCTTAAAATTTGAGATCTTCCTATTACTGTGTGGAAAACACAGCGATGGGCAAGAAAGGTACTGCATGGTAGAGGAAGAGGGGGTGGCTCGCTGGTCACACCTGTGTCTCTACTCAGGAAGACAAGAGTGAGCAGGAAGTGAGGCTGGGGTCTAAAGCCTCAAGACCTGCAGCCAGGGATCCCCTTTCTCCTGTGAGGCTCTACCTCCTAAAGGTTCCGCAGCCTTCCCAAATGATGGTTTCAGCTGGGGACCAAGAATTCACAGACATGAGACCAGGGTAGACACTTCACACCCCAACCACCACAGCTTGTGTTTTCCCAGCTATTTCCACACACATCAGAGCAACTGTCTATACATCTCACTACGGTCCAGAGACTGCCTGCTCAGCCCTGCCTAGAAGACCCGTCCCTTCTGTTTCTTGGACCTTGAATAAATTGTCACATTGCATGACTTCTTATAAAGAAATTATTCTAAATCTTATCTGCACAATGCTCTAAAAAGCTTTGTTTGAAAAAGAACATACAACTATAAGTAACTAACAAGAATTTCATTGTTCTACCATGGTGATATTTTATTTATACTGAAATGTGATTTTATTTGTATGTTAATAAATAAAGTTGGGCTGGGGAGATGGCTCAGCCGTTAAAGGCTAGGCTCACAACCAAAAATAAATAAAGTTGCCTGGGGGTCAGAGCTAATAGCAAACCATAGCAGAAGCTGGGCAGTGGTAGTGTACGCCTTTAATCCCAGCACTTGGGAGGCAGAGCTAGGTAGATCTCTGTGTGTTCGAGGATACAGCCAGCATGGAGACACACGCCTTTAATCTCAATACCAACCATAGAAGACCTGGAGGTCTGTACAGATGGGCAGTGACGAGGAGGTCATGTGGTTGGGTTTATAACCAATGAGAAGGCAGAATAGAAAGTCAATAAAAAGACAAACACACAGGATGTATGTAGGTCTCTTGCTGAGGAGGACAACAGTGGCAGTGAAGGGTAAGGTTTTTAGCTCTTAGCTTTTGCTCTGACCTCTTCGGCTTTTTAACTTTGCAATTGGCTCTGTGTTTCTTATTTAACAAGAAGGTTACAATCTACATTCTACATTTTATGACATTCTGTAACTTAAGATCACTTACCTATGGCGACAGATTTGTCAATTTGCAGAGGTAAAATGTAACTGCTGAATCCAAAATTAATGATTTTTATTATGTAACTTTTAAGCACTAAAATTTCAAAACTTTATTCTCAAAGTATATAGTATTATTGTTTTTGTCTTCTATTTGTTTTTTTCCTTTTAAGATAATAGCTCATATGGCTTAGGCTGGTCTCAAACTCACTGATAACTACAGTCCATCTTAACTCCTCATCTACCTACTGTCACCTGCCAAGTTCTGGAACTACAGACGTGTGCCACCATGCCCACTTTGTACTCGTCTAAGTGTTTTAAATGTATAACATGCTCTTATGAACTGAAATCTATAAACCCTTTTATTAACAGCCATTAACTGATCAATGATATACAAGTAAGTGATATAACTTGTAATGTTTTGTTTGCACTGTGTTGAGAGTCCCTATTCTGTTCAAATAAAACACAATTCACTTATTTAATTGTGAGTAAATGTATAACAGATGAATTCGAGGGATAAACTTGGAGAAGAAAAAATTCGAGATATATATGCATCTGTATATTTGAAAATAAATTTATGTTCTATTAACATGAGTGAATGAAAGTACTGGAGTACTGTGGAGTGTTCTCTCCACAACCCTGGATTAGGCACAGACCACAGCCAAATACCAACTTCTAAGCACAAACCAGACACAACGAGATCCTTTATAAGCAAGGTGAAGAGATAAGATGGCTGAATCTGAATCGGGCAAAAACAGCAGCAAATAACATTGCAGGTATTAATTTTAAGAGGGAAGAAGGTGGGGTTTTGTTAGAATGAGCTAGGTAAGTTCATTTTATTATTTTAGCCAAAATAATGAATTTTGATTCCTGAACCTTGGTGTTTTGATAGTTGGACCTTGGTAACCATGTTCAGGAATGAGTCAGCGGCCAAATAAGGAAATAGACCTTGGAGACTAGCTTGAGCAATGCAATCTAACTGTTTAGTAAGGGGGAGAGAGGTAAAAGATAAAACCTTTGGTACTATGTTTGTGGTACTCAGGCCTATGTTTGCCATGGTCTGGGGTGCTTAGAGCCCTTCAGTGAGTGCTTAGGCAAAGCTGGAAATGAAAGCCATGGTAGGCTCTCTCATACAGAAGAATAATAGAAGGCTCATTCTCTAAGGGAAAACTTTCACATTTAAATGATCCATTGACTCACAAAGCAGTAAGTCAGGGTCAGTCTGAGAAGTGCTAAACCTCTCCCTAGACACTGTTTCACTGCTGAACTCACATGACCATGAGCTTCAACTTTGAGCATTTCTGTAGCCTAGGGACTACGCTCTTGGGAGGAATCACACAGGGAAGGGGTGAAAAAAGCTGAAGTCTGACCTTTGCCCGCTGAAAGTCTCTATACACATAGGTACTGGTTTTAATTCTAGAATAGGATGACTGCTTAATCCACTCCTTGCATGTGAGGATGGACATCAGAAACTTCTGAAATGAAGAAAAAAAAAATTTTTTTAAATCCCATAACCAGCAAAGACCACAGCAGGCTGCATTTCTTAGTAACATCCTCACTTTAGACAATGCTGCTGTTTGCTTAATCCATGTGCTTGTTCATTAGTTTTACTTTTAGTTTACAGTTATCTAATAATAAATCGGGTGCTTTTACCTACAACATCATTGGTCTTGTTAACAAAAGTTAGTTTAAAATATGTGGATTTTCCCAAGCTTTATCTATTCAAGTTTCCGTAGGAAGAAGATGATTATTTTAATGTCAAAACATATTCCCAATGACTGATTTGTAATTTTTAATAACATGACTGGGAAATAAAAAGACTGAATTTCAGGTGGAATCCATGTTCAAATTAAGAATATTAGCAGTGTAGAAATTGATAAATAAGAAAAGATTAATGGATTGGTCAGCTAAAATAGACATAGCAGTGAATTCAGCCAGATTAGATGTAAACACAGACTGGAAAGTCAGAATGTATTGTTCTCAGCTCAGTTCTCCAGCATTATCTAAACTGTACCTCTATAGTTGTACTCTTCCAATGAGCAGCAGAGATTTATAAAGGGGAGGTCTCTGTAGAAATAAGGCAATGATGCAATAATGATTATGAAACATGTATAATGTGGAGGAGGGTCACCGCACTGCAGGACTACTGGGGTGCAAAAATTAGGTATAGGCTGATTTTGGTAATCAAAGATTAGAATCAGAACAGTCAAAATAAACAGCCTTTTTAGAAATCATCACACATTCTTGATTAAGATTGTTTAGCCTCACAAGACTGAATAGAATTATCCATATCTAAATTTTCATGAAAATCACCACAAAGATGAATTATATAATTAGGAAACTTTCCATTTCCTTTCCTGGATCTTAACTTACAACTTAGAACTCCTTTTAATGTTATTTATGGTGTGATCATGTTTATAGTTGATTACTTTAGAAGGAATAAACAGAAGCAGCAAACAGTAAGAGGTTTTTTTTTGTTTTTTTTGTTTTTTTTTTTTTTAGTTTTCAAAAAGCTCCACTTATTATTCTCACTTTACTTTGAGCCTCTGGTTTTGAAAGCAGAATAAATTAGTATGTTGTTGTAAAGAGAAACATTTGTTAGAAGATAAGGAACTTGGATCCTATCTAATAAATGAACGTACTTTCTTCTTAGTGTCTAATGTGTCCGGAATTTCAGAGAAAAAAGGTTTCAGTAAACAAAAACTCAAGGTCATTAAAGAATAAATTCATTTTTAAGTTTATTTTGTTTTTAATTAAAATATAACTCCATTATTTCTTCCATTCCTCTCCTTCCTCCATCCTCTGTGATTCTGATGAGTCTGTCTTTATATGTAACTGGAGCTTTCTTTCTTACAACTTTCTTTTATTTGTATTCATCATTATATTTTTCATTATTTAAAACAATTTTCAAATTTAAATATATTTTGATCATATTCTTCCCCTCCCCCAAGTTCCTCTAAATCCTGTCCCCCTCTCTGCTTACCCAACTTTAGATTCCTTCCCCAAAAAGAAACAAAAACAAAAAACAATACAAAAACAAAACCCCCCAAAAGCAGGAAAACAAAATAAAACCATATCTAATAGAAAACAAAAACAAAACTTAAACAAACAAAATAAAACAAACAACAAACAAAAACCCACCAAACTGAGCATGCGCGCACTCACACACACACACACACACACACACACACACAAAAAAAAAAAAAAAAAAAAAAAACAAAAAAAAAAACCATGTGGAGTCCATTATATGTTGGTGTTGGTCAACTACTCCTGAATATGAGACCTGTCCTGGAGTAGCTGATGCATCCAGTGTCACTCCATTGGAGAAAACCGATTTTTCCTAGCAGGTATAAATGGCAGTTCAATTGTTAACCTTTACCCAAATGACTAGGTTTTCATTCATTCATTCATTCTTTTTTAAATATGACAAAATAAAATATAATAAAATAAAAAAAATCTATCACATCAAAGTTGGACAAGACAAACCAACAAAAGGAAAAGATTCCAAGAGAAGGTACAAGGATCAGAGACTTGGTCATTTTCACTTTCAGGAATCTTACAAAAACACTAAATTTGATGCCATAATATAAGCACAGCGGACCTGATGCAGACTCGTATAGGCCCTGGGCATGCTGGTTCAGTCTCTGTGTGTTCATATGCACTTCACTCATGTTGGTGTGTTGTGTATATTTAGCTCCTAACTGTAATGTAGCATGAGGAGTTTCTTTTCTGGTTCTATCTAGTTGGTATTCAGTGTGCTGCTTGTATTTTAGTGGGCTTATCTCTCCTTAAATTTAGAAATATTTTTTCTATGATTATATTGAAGATATATACTATGCTCTTGACTTGAAATGAATCATCATCTTTCCTTCTTCATCCTCCCAAGTCTCCTTCTCCTCTTCTTTGTCAACAAAGAATTCATACACTTGATTATTTTATTGTGTCTAAAGCTTCTTATATATTCTGCTCATGATTTTTTTTTGATTTATCATCTTTAACTGAATGATCCAATTCCTCTGTTTTGCTTCAGACCTGAATATTTTCTTCTGTACATGGTCTATCCTTTCTAAACTCATTCAGGTATTTGTTTGTGTTCTTATTCAATTCCTTAGACTCTTTCAGGAAGGAATTACTGTAAATATTTGAGGGTATATGGACTGGAACAAAGATTAATAAAGATGAAAACTAATAACATATCGAAATACAGATGGATAAGTGATAGAATTAAACTACCAATTAGCACTTACTTTTCCTTTTATTTTTCTGATCATCTAGATGCAGATAGAAGTTAGGAATGAAGCTATATGCCTCTAATGCCAATGCTTGGGAAGCTGAGTTAGGGGAATTGCCACAAGTTCAAATCCAGAGTGGTATTCACGGTCAGCTTTAGGTCCGCAAGTGCTGCAAAACAAACAAGATCCTTTTGGTAAAGTCAGGAATAATGATAATGTCTCTTTCCTCAAAAAAGAACATTTTGTCATTTAATCACATTTTTTTTCATTTCATAAAACTGTCATTTAATCACATATTTTTCTTCTCATCTGTGAGAAATTTATAAGTAGGTCATGGGGTGGAAGGGTTTGGGGCTCTCAATTTTAAGAGTCCCTTTTTATTTAATATTGCTTATTAAGTCAATATGTCCTGACACTGTGGAGTTGATGTGATGTTCTTAATGATTTTATTATATAATAGCATGCAAGTGTGGCAAAAAATTTTATCTTTGCTAAATTTCAAGTTGGTTTCTGAAGATAAAAGTCTGATGTGGGCAATGTTCCCAGAAGTTTCTCTGTGGGAAAATGACACATTTCAAGACTGTAGAATTCTAGTTACATTTAGTTCAAATTATTTGGAATGGTAGTTTTCTGTGTCAGTGCTAAGAGGACAATTGGAATATGTGAGTCCACATTTGAGACAGAACAAATAAGTGGGCTTCAGACTGTTGAATGTCACAGCTCATAATAAGCTGATAATAAACACTGAGCTGTAACATCAGCCAAGACTATGCACGTGTTGTTGTATGAGCCCAGGTCAGCGATGTCTCCATCAAAGACAATGGAAACCAGATCCATCCCTTTGTAGCATAGCCAGCTTTAGGACAATGGTAGCATTAACAATCTCTGTATCTGCTCAGAAAAGAAAGTATATCTTTAAAAATGTCTCAGAGATACAAGATGTACAATTATCTGTCATCTCAGTTGCTTTTTTTCTACTTCCACATGAGCTGGATGGGGTCAAAATGTGATCACATTGAGTCTAATGTGTCTAAGCTTGAAAAATGTAGTTTCTCTTTTATTGAATACTAGCATTTTTCACAAACAGGTAGTATTGAAACAGTAGTCAAATACAAATAATGTTTATTTTCCCCAAATCTGTTTCCTTTAGAGGTTGCACATTGCATCAGATATTTCCTAATAAAAGTAAAACCAGGATCTCAAAACACCCTGTTTGCTATATAGACAGATGTAGAGTGAGTCAATACCTAAATTCTTGACAGGCTTCAAGTAAGAGAACTGCAGAGCATTGGATCCATTCTTAGTTACAACTCTATTGCTGTGAAGAAACACTATGAACAAGTCAACTCTTTTAAAAGAAAGCATTTAATTTGGAGATTCCTTACAGTTTCAGAAGGTCAGTCTGTGATCACTATGGTAGGAAGCAGACGGGCATAGCCTAGAGCGGTAATAGAACTTTTCATCCTGATTTTCAGGCAGCAGGCAGAGAGTAAGAGTGGGTCTATCACAGGCTTTTGAAACCTCAGAGACCGCCTCCCAGTGACACGCCTCCTCCAACAAGGCCACACCTCCTAATCCTTCTCAACCAAACTGGGAACTAAGCATGAAAGCATATGAGCCTGTTGAAGTATGCCTTGGTCAGTGTTGCAGTACTGTAAAGAGACACCGTGACCATGAAATCTCTTCTCAAAAGAAAACAATAATATAAACATAAGCCTATGGGGATTGTTCTTACTCAAATCACCACAATTCCTATCTCCTTGTAATCAAAATTAAGCTATAATTCTGCTCTTTACCCCAAGAGAAAAGTGACAAGGGGGCAAAAGAGTTTTGAAAAAAAAATGAGCTTTTGGATTTTTTTTGAAAATATTTATTTAAATAAGTGTTTAAATGCATTGCATACCATTTAAACTAAAATGGAAAAGGAAACAAAAATCAAGCTTGTTCCTTCACATTGGGAAGAAAAATTATGTCTAGCAAAGAGGAAAAGAGGATTAGACCAAACTTCATAGCATTGCCAAAGCTGAGCTGTCATGGATGTTAGTTAATGCAATGGGGTTTTCCACCTTCACAGTAAAAGCAGATGATTGACAAGAAAAGAGAAAACACAACATTTCAAAGGAGTTTTACTTTTCAGTTCAAAATAACTTTAGTTATTGCATTGAGTTTTTCTGTACCTCCTAAGTCTTCTGTGGTGTTAACTTTAGACCTACACATCTCATTAAAAATACTTTAACCAAATTTCAACCTCAATACAACCTTGCACTAAATTAGAGGCTACTAATGAGGGTCAAGTTTTAAAAGTGTATACACTTCATTTTTTTACCTTTAGAATAAAAATAGTATTAGTTTCTAATGAAAGAAATTTTGCTTTAATGACATTTCATGATATGGCTGCCAGAAATGACTTAGGTCATTTGTTTTCATTTGCACCATACATTTTTAAAATACATTTTCCTGTCTAACATTCCTAATATCCAGTATATCTGCAAAATATCAATAAATATTAATTTAGAAGCAATGTGATGTAATCCAAATAAATTGTCTTTCTACCATTAGCTCTAACAATTGAAAAATCTAATTATTGGTAAAAATATTAATAGATATATTTTGGTAAGCCATTTGTATTAGAATTCAGTTAGAACACATTATAATTTGAGTGAAAATCTGTATACATGAAAATTTCCATGAATATTATGATGGTTGAACAAGTATTTGTTAAGCATCATTATTATGTCATAAAGGAACTGTAATGGGAAGCTTAATACATTTAAAATAACTTTTCTAATTGTATAGAACTTAAATGAGTAATGTAGGCTTTAGGTTTGGTTAATTTTAGGGTTTTTTTGCAAGTTGTTTACAATAAAGTTTTAATATAAAAACATTATAAGTTAAAAGTGAAATTAAAAATGAATCATTTACAAATACTTATTTCATTCACAAATACTTCTAAAAGAGTAGAATGTATTCACTGTTCTCAAAGTGTCTAAAATATTCTAAAGACATAAAAATACAAATAATTTTAAATATTATTAATCTTATTGTAGAATCTTATCATCTATGTCATAACATTCAATTGTATTTGTATAAACATTTAGATATGTTACAAGCAACTCTAAGTATTTATTTATAACAGAATTTATTAAGATATAAATTGAGGAAATAGACTCACAAATATAGAACAGAGTAGACAGCAGAAGTCGTCCTCTGATCTGACCTGAAGCGAATCCACCTCACAGGCAGGAGCAAGGAGAAGGGGCATGTGACCCTTCTACAACTCCTTATAAGGGGTCACATACAATGGCAGGAAACACTGCCTTCTTTGAGCCATAAAGCACCAGGTCATGGGCAGAGCAAATACCACTACATCTAAGAGCAGAAAATTATGATAAATATTTTTCATGCTGACATTTTCAAATAATTGGGAAAATGCAGAATAATTTTTATTCAGTCTTATTTTTGATTTACCACTCCATCAGAATTAAGATATTTTTAGTGGGAACACCTCACTAAACATCATTTCAAAGGAAGATAGTTTATCCTCATATATCTATATACCAATTTATAAAAGTAAGCTTTGATTTTTAGAAAGTCATTGAACTCACTTAAGTAGGAACCTTTAAAAGATTTTATTCTTCAACTAACATACTCATAACCACACTTCACAATCTGGGGAACATTAGCTATGTGTCAACTAGACAAAGCAGGTAAAGATGAAAACTATACTTATGTAAGTGTTCAACACAATTCCTCCACCTCCTCGCAACTTTGTTTCTGGGAAATGATCATGAATCCTCTCTCTCATCTTGAGATTAGCATATAAATATGCTCAGGTTTGTTAGCTTTATTTTAAACAAAATAAAATCTCTATATCCAGTTGTACATTGTGTGAGTGTGTGTGTGTGTGTATGTGTGTGTGTGTGTGTGTGTGTGTGTGTGTATTTGGAGTCCCAAGGTCAATTTTGAGCATCTTTCTCAGTCGCTCTCCACCTTATTTTTTTGAGACAGTATCTGTAAATGAACCTGAAGCTCACTAATATGACATGGCCAGCTGGCCAGTGAGTTCCAGGCATCTCTGACTCCCCAGTGTTGAGGTCACATATGTAATGGTTTTTTACTTGGGAGCTGGGGGCCTTAATTCAGTCCTTAGGCTTACACAGCAACTTTACTGACTGACCTATGTTCCCAGCCCCACCTCCATGTGCATTTTTTACTTTATTCATTAAATTATGCCTTTTTAGTGAGGTAAAGAGGTCATGTAGAATGCTTAGTATAATACTAGATATCAGAAGTTTAATCACCAAACTATTACTACATGCTAAGGATTATGCACAGAACTCTATATGGATAATTCACTGAACCTGTAAATCCAGTCTATGTTTAGACAGAATTTTCCTCCCTGTTATGACTGAAGACTTAGCATGTTATATAACTTGCTGACGTTTCAGGATAAGAAATTCTAGATCCAGGAAGAACTGAAATCCCAGCCTCCAGAGAAGGATAAACATGCTGTAAATATTAATAATAAAAAGATATTTTCTGACTGACATTTTCCTACAGATTTCCTCCTTCACCCCATCATTTTATCTCACCTGCCAACACCTGGAGGCACTCTCCCTGGAGACCTGCCCACCATGCCAGCCTGGGAATCGGGTTGGTAACCCTTATTCTCCTTTCTGTCCTCCATTTTTAATTTCCCAGTCTCATCCCCAGCCCTGCAGCAGACCTTCAGGAGCTTGTCGTCCATCTCTTCCTTCATTCCTCAGGACTCCTTTTGACAGATCTAGTAATCCCCCCTCATGTGGATCTTTTTGGCCCTCACTGTTCTATCTGTTGCCCTCTTAAAGCCTTCACCCCACTGACTAGTGTTCATGGCCCCAGAAGGTACTCTGCATGCTACCAGAGGAGAGAGGTAAACACCAAGCCAACTACATACCCTTCGGTCTACAGCAGTGTCCTGCCTGCAAGATGTACTAGTCCAACGGTGACACAAAGCTTGTGGGAGGAAACAACCGACAGCTGATTAAACTGATGGCCCACTCCATGAAATGTAACCCATTCCCAACGCTTCTAGGATAGCCAAGAACATGAGCCTAGACAGGCT